GCTAGTAAGCAGCATTTCTTCATGGCCTTTGCATCAGCTCCTGCCTCTGGGTTTCTGCCCTGTTTTATTCAGTTCCTGCCCTCTCTGTTTTTAATGATAAATATGGAAGAGCAAATGAAATAAACCCTTTCCTCCAGGCAAGTTGCTTTTGGTCATGGTGTTTCATCAGAGAAGTGGCAATCCTAAACTGAGGTCTTAACAGCCTTGAATTAACTATGTATCCAAGGCTGGCCATGAACGCCTGATTCTCCCTGCCTGCACTTCCTGAATGCTAGGTTAGCAGGCATGCACTGTCATACCCAGCATAATTTAGCTATTACATGCCTCCCGAAAGATCATTTGTTAAATGGTGGGTTCTTAGATAATGGTGTTATTAGTGGTGGCAGATGTTTGTGAATGGGGCCTGGATGGAGGAAGTAGGCTACTGGGGACATGCCCTCGAAGGAAATACTGGGATTCCAGTGTCTTCCTCTTTCATTGTCTATTTCTCAGCTGCCAGGAGGTGAGCAACTACGTGCTCTCCACAACACAATTCTACCTCAATACGGGTCAAAAACAACTGCACCACATAACTGCAGATTCAAAACTCTAAAAGCACAAGCCAAAATCTACCTTTTCTCCTTTAAGCTGATTTCTCTCAGGAATTCTTTTACAGGCACAGAAAGATTATGAGCACACATCTTTTTCTCATAGTGGTTCTTCTAATTGTAGTATGCTGTTTAAAGTTATTACACATCTCAGTTGTAATGACATTTTAAATGTTCAATACTCACATCTGGCGAGTGACTACCATAATAATCGTACAACTCTAGTCAATATAGGACTAAGGAAGCTGTACAAACATATGGCTGGACTTCATTAGGTAGAAAAATAACTGAGATGGGATTTAAATGGTACTGCCTTGCTCTGCAGTAAGGAATCGCATCTATGTTTAAGACTAATCCAAATAACTTGGAGAAATCTGAGGTATACCTGTCATTCTGCTCATAGATATTGAGTCCCAAGGCATCCACACCCAGCCATAGCTCTGAGCCTTTCTTGTTCTTGATGCTGAAGTAGTTCACACCATACATCTCCAGGTCTTGAGCAATCTTGAGATATTCCAGGACAGCATCCTCCCTAAATGACGCAGAATGAGAGAGGGATTATCACAAAATAGAGCTCCAGCAATATAAAAAACGTCAGCCTGATCTGTGTTTCTGACAATGGTCTTGCAAGTAGGATTGGGAAACAGACTGTAAGCAAATGATGAGTAACAGGAATATACATGATTTCTGTTAAACAAAAACTGCAGATAGGAACCCAAAGGACAAGGAGAAGTTGTCCCTTGTCTTCTGGAATACTAACCCTACAGAAGTTATGTTCTCCCTCCTTTGCATTGTGACATCTTTGTATAGAAGCGCCTTCCTAGCAGAACTGAGACAGAGTGATGACAGTAAAATGAGATTTGTTCCTCAGCCATCAAATTCTTTTACAATATTTAGAGAGTGTTCCTGAAGGATAATGCTCTTATACAATGCAAAGATTTGTCACTTGTGTTAGTTTAACAAAACACTGATTAGCCAGGAGCCAGGCAGAAAATATAGGCAGGGCAACCAGACTAGGAGAATTCTGGGAAGAGGGAAGTCAGTTGCCACCCAGATGCAGAGGAAGCAAGATGAAAATGAAGGTTGTTCTATATCCTTCTGACACATACCCACATTCACACAACATGTATCACACACACGCATATATATACACACACATGCAAAATAAAAAACAAAAGATGAAGCCCTGATTTGATAATTAATGATCTTTTCAAGTTAAAGTCCTTTACATTAAAATTTTGATCTTGTAAATTTAAAAAAAAAGCCTAAATCTAAATTACAGTCTTACAAGGATTCAAGTTTGCCTTCAATATTTAAGTCCCAAAATCATTCCTCTCTCTCTTTCTTAAAATGCACCAACTTCCCTAATCATTTGCCTCTTCTTTGTAGGCCCCATCCTCATCCTTCTTGCAAGGCCAGTGAAGCTCACAGCTGGTAGGCGAGGCTTACCTGAGCATGCCTCGGTGTTCCTCATACCACACCTGGATCCGCTCTTCCCACTGGTCCTTGTTGAGTTTGTGCTGCTCCAAGACTCTAGAAAGACAATGAATGATAAAAAAAAAATTGCAGACAAAAGACAGGAGGGAAGGGAAGCGCACTCAGTTCTCTATAGAGTTGATGCAAATATAAAGTTAGACCACTGAGGTCCTGCTGAATTCATACAGACAATGAGAGTTGAACATACCTAAACAGACCTAAGGGACTTCCTAAAATAAGAGCTCCAAGAACAGAAGACCAAACAGGACAATGGATCATTCTCTTTATTCATTCATAAGTTAATTCCCTATCTATCTATCTATCTATCTATCTATCTATCTATCTACCTACCTACCTGCCAACCTACCTACCTACCTACCTGAGACAGGATTCATCTATTTGTTTGTTTGTTTGGGACAGGGTTTCTCTATTTTATAGCTCTGGCTGTCCCGAAACTGATTATGTAGACCAGGCTGGCCTCAAACTCAGAGAACTCCCCCTTCCTCTGCCTCCCAAGTGCTGGTATTAAAGGCTAGGCCCTCTTTCTTCCTTCAACCAAAAAGCTAATAATGTGTTGCATCCCCAAACTCAACAATAATGCATCAGGAGTCCATATTAAGTGGCTAACAGCAGAGACAGGCAGAGATATTCTCTCCTGCATCCCCTTGGTGTTTATGAGACAGTTTTGTGTACTGTGCAGGGAATTAGCCCCAAACTACTCTGAAGGAACCAAGAGGTCTGACCCATCATTCTACCAGATTATTAAACAAGGCCTGCTTTAAATACACCATCTTGGACATTGTGGCCCTGACCACAAAAGTTTCCAGGGACACAATTCCTATCCCTAAGATCTCCTGATGGTGTATGCACAGACCACAGCACCAATTCCACTAGGGATCCCTGAGTCAGGCTTGCTTCACTTTTCTTCTCCTGCTCTAATCCAAAGGCTTATGGAAATAAATAGCCATCTGATGCAAAATGAAACAAAACCTTCGAGGTTGAAATAAGAATCATCAATACATTGGGGGTTCAGGCCAGTTCCGGCTCAAATGTGGGAGATGGGGCGAATCAGAACGAGTACCCCTGTATTTCTCCTTCCTGAGCCAGAAAATAAGGAAACCTCTTGCCTTGTTTATTTGGCATTGTCATGATGTTAAAACAAAAATATTAAGTGTTTATGAGCTTTCACCTTTGTAGTTTGCAAAATCAGAACACTGTATAGAATGGTACCCGTGGCTTGCCTATTTCTCTCTCTCTCTCTCCTGTGAATTTCTAAAATAAAATCTCATCAGTGCAAAAGAAATGGAAACAGGGGAGGACAAAACAAATCAACCCATCTTTGGTTCTATGTAAGCGCCGATCTCCAGGGTAATGAAGCTTTGAAATCAGGGAGACAAAGGGGAAAAACGCTTTTTGAAGACCAGAAATACAATAGGATATAAGACTATATGCAAATGTGTCTCTGAGCAGCACAGCAGTGTTTAGACAAAACCTAGTGAAAAGAAACTTCTCTGGCACCCCATAGGGAGTGGGAATTAGCCAGTGTTTGGTTGTTACCCATGACCCACTTTAGCTAGGTCAAAGAAGACCAGGGTACCAACTCACCTCTGGGGCAGCAGCTTATCTCCAGCCAGGTAGCCAGACTTGTGCACTTCCTTATTGAAGTCACCGTACTTAGACTGGACGGCATAGGAGGCCAAGAGCACAGCAGTTTCAGGTGGGCAGTAGATGTCATCATTGAGAATGCCCTCCTTCACTTGCAGGAAGAACAGGCGCTGGGTGATGTCCTGGATCAGTTCCTCAGACACATCCTCTGGGTAGAACTTGGCCCAGAACTTGAAGAGCAGTGGACTTTCCTTCCGCACATCCTGTGCAGTCACCTGGGAGGAACACGGAGGTAATAAGAGGCTCTCGAACAATAGACTCTGGTGATGGGAGCGAGTCTGTGATGGGAATGATAGGAGCGCTGAGAGAGCTTAAGTTCAGGTAATCTCCCAAGGCTGGAAGGCCACTCTCCTCGTAATTTAAAACGAAACAAAACTAAACTAAAACTAAAACACCGAAGCACTGCATTACTTTCACTGGGGAATCTTATTCTCCTACGCTATAAACTACTGGAGATGAGCAAATCTGGTCGAAGCTACAGAATTGGCTAGGTTAGACAGCCACCAGATGACTGTGCAAAAGCCTGAAAAATCATTCCTAATTTGTCCAGCAAAAGTGGCTACTGCTGCGGCCACCGGCATGCCTCAGAGGGTAAAGACACTTGTTTCCAAGGCTATGACCTCATTTAGATCTTAAGGAACAACAAAATGGAAGAGAGGATTGGCATGGCTCCCATGACGTGCATGCACACACACATAAACATGCACAGACATAGTAAATAAATGTAATTTTACAAAGCTCCATTCTTTAATAGAACAAGAGCTTTGGAGCAGAAGTGAGACCCACCTCTAGATACAATCAGGAAAATAAGCTGGAGCACAGTATTGAGACCTCTAGGGTCAATGGCAAACAGTTTGGGGGTATAGGGAGAAAAGTCTGCTAGTAATCTGCAGACATTACATGGGGCGGTATTTGGGCTCTTTCTTACAAATTACAGGCTTTGAGAAAGGGATCTCAACACCTTAAACCACTAAAAGCTTAGGTCTGCAACAAGTCTAAAATAAAGAATCATCTCCACTCCTTTTGGCGTGGCCATCTTGCTCAGAATTCAAAGTGGAAACTCAGCAACCTTCCCTCAGTTGAGTCCTCTGCCTCTATTTTGTTGAAAGTAATCAGGGGGAGCATGGTGTTGGGCTATCTATAATTCCAACACTCTAAAAAAAACGGAAGATCAGATGTTCAAGGTCACCGTCTGCTATGTGTGGAGCCTATATGTGGAGATCAGCCTACAACAAGAAACCCTTTCTCTAAATACAAAAGGAGGGTGGGAGTTCTGGAAGCTCCAATACCAGCCATGCAGACCTGAGAAAACACAATCCTACATAAAAATGGACATATCTGACTTAGGACAGCTGACTAAGTCTGGTTGCTCCCCTCCAGATAACTTTTTTTAAATTTTATTTATTTTATTTTTTTTTTGAGACAGGGTTTCTCTGTAGCTTTGGTGCCTGTCCCGGAACTAGCTTTTGTAGACCAGGCTGGCCTCGAACTCCCAGAGATCCGCCTGCCTCTGCCTCCCGAGTGCTGGGATTAAAGGCGTGCGCCACCACCGCCCGGCCAGATAACTTTTTAAACTAGGACTCTAAACACTGTTTCCTTCCTTGTTTTGTTCAATATATTACTGAGTAAAGGATCTTGGGTTTGCTAACTAGCATATGTTAGTAGCTGGAAGAACTTCTAACAGATCAGTAAGTGATTACCTTCTTATTGAGTTTCAGCCAAGTCGAGAAAGCTTTTGTGTCCTGGTACTGAAGACCAAAGAACCAAACTTCCCTCAAGCCAATTGTTTTCACCACCTGGAAAAAACAAAACAGTCACCGGTTTAATAGCTATTCTGTGCCAGGAATCGAGGAACAGAAAACTGGAAGGAACTTAATTTACCCTAAAAGGGTTTAAGGTACTGCTAGTCTGGAGAGCAGCTGTCAAGAACTAATGTCTACTGGCAATTGATGGCTTCTGGAGCAGTGGGATCCATTTTCTTCAGAGATGTAGAAAACCTTTAGAAGGTTTCCTGTACCCTAGAGAATGGCTCTATACCTATGAAAGTACTAGCAAGACTAACTAAACTCTGTGGGTTAAAAAAAATGAGTACATAAAATTGGGGGGAGAGGGTCTAAACTTAGCTGGAGGAAGGTAAATATGATCAAAATGCATTGCATACATGTATGCACTTCTTAAATAATTAAGAAAATGTATTTTTAAAGGAATTAATGTCATATAAGGAGTTTAGTTTAAAAAAAAAAAGAACATGGAAGTAGAAAGGAAACTATTTTGAAAAGGGACCAGGACCAATGGATGAAAGGAGGGTCATTGTAATTAAAATATAATACACGTGTATGAAAATGTAACGAATCCCTTATTTTTTACAATTAACATAAGCTTAATACACAACAAAAAAGGAAAAAGAAAGAATTGCTATCAGCTTCTTTCCCCACTAAGTACTACTGTGAACACTGGTCCACATCAATAACCTTACATGCATTATCATCTTCAGTTCTCAAAAGAGCCCTATGACAGAAGTAGGTGATGTGCATTTTACAGATAGTAATATTAAAAGCCCAGAAATAAAACGATATGCCCAAGGTGCAGATAAGAAGTGACAAAGGCAAGATTTAAATTGTCATATTTCTAAATCAAGCCAATTCTCTACCACTGCCTTCTCCAACAACGCTATACAGCTGTCGGCTCCCAGAATGGATTAGAGGCTGTAGACAAAGATTCTTGGGTTAAGTCCTGTATCATATCCTTCTGAGGTACTCTCATGTGTTCCTTGCTATTTCTGATTTTCTATTTAGTCTAAAGGATATTACATTGGGAATTGTAATGCATGCCTGTAATCCCAGTCCTCAAGAGAAAGCGGAGGCAGAAGGATCAGAAGTTCAGTGTTGGCATCCTTGGTTACACAGAGTCTGAGCCCAGCTGGGGCTACATGAGAGCCTGTGCCAAAAGTAGGGGCATGGGCTATGCTTAATCCCAGCACTCGGGAGGCAGAGGCAGACTGGTCCCTGGTCTCTGTGAATTCAAGAACAGCTTTGTCTACATAGCAAGTTCCTGGTAAATGTCTGTCTCAAATTACCAAAGGAGGCGCACTTAAAAAGACTCAGATGAACAGACAGAAAAGGTGCAGACATGCAACTGGAGGAGGGCAGGGATCCCATGTCTGTTCAGCAACTTCTTCCTGTCCAGCTACCTAGAAGCTTCCCAACTCAGGCTTTTTTTAGTTTTGTTAAAAAAACTACTTCATTATAATTGACTGAATTGACAGTCATTAATGTCATTAATTCAAATTTCATAACTGTCCTTTCTATTTAGAAAGTGGGAGTCATTTCAATATCTAAGACAAAGTCTCTTGCAATATCCCAAGGAAGAACACTTGAGAAGACAAATTAAGGGGCACAGTGTACAAGCATCCCATACCCCAAAGCTATGCTGTTCCTGGGTAATGATGGAGTCTGTTCTTGGGCCCTGACTCTAGCACGCCATGTTGATGGTCCAGGTGCAGTCTCCACACCGGCACACTCAGCACTAGAGAGAGCCACATCAGACAGTTCTCATCTTTTAGTCTGGATATAAATGGATGCAAATAAATCTTTAGGATGCAGTGAGCAGAAAATCTATGAGACTTAATTAGAGATAAAAACAAGGACCCAGAGTCACCTATGTTCTTTCTAATAAACAAATCAACACCTTCTCCCATCTCGTACAATAATCACTCTGAGGAGAAATCGTGTCCCTAACATGTCACACTTTCTCTTTATACTTTGATGTCACGTATCAGGAAATATGAACAAAAATCTTCTGTCTTTCATTTGCAGCCCGTATATTTCTTTGGCTGGCCCCAACTTCCTCATTATCTAGTCGGGAGAATAACTGTTAAATGATCTCACACCTAAGGATGGGTATGGGAAGATTTTTCTTTTTTAAAAAAAAGCTCTTTCTCATCCTACATTTAACACAGGACCCAACTAATAATTCTGACTTTTCCCGGTAGTTTCAGAGTTATAACTGAAATGCAACTGGTGGGAAGGAGAAAAGTTCCATAAACATTCAGATCCTGGAGAGAAAAAAGACCCACTGAAGACAGTACAGACCATAGGGCTAACATGCCTAGGTACTGGGGGAGTGGGACAGAAGAGCAAGAGAGAAAGTGATAAAGAAACAGTTGGCCTTAACCTAAACCAAGAGGCCAGTTGTGGCAGCTCAGAAAACCTAGGACTGAAGGGGATTTTGATATGAACACTGCCTCTTCTTTTGTGAGCATAGGGAAATCAAAATGATATGAATTTTCCACTTCCTTAAGCTCTTGAGCTTGGAGAGATGAGCAGTCTCTCAACCTATGCTAAAGTTCCAACGTGAGGATATGGGAGGAAGGAAATGCAGTCTGAAGTCAGAATTGATACTGAAAAAAACAAAGACAAAAGAAATGACCTGTGCCTCCAGGCTACAAGGAAATCTCCAATTAAGGTCCAGGGAGTGATGGGGGCCATTTGGTTAGGCAACTCCTGGATCTATTTCCAATTCCAAGAACAAGGAAATTGAGGACAGAATTACTCATTTCGAATTCCTATAGTAGCCAAGACCTCTAGTCAAAGTGGGCCAGGGCTTGGGGTAGGAAAGGTCCTGCTTTTCAAGTTCGAGAGAAGTATCTAGCTCTTTGTTTTAGGAACAAACCTCTCTGGATCCAGTGAGTAGAGTCCTTATAATGCTTGAGGGAAAAAAAAATTGCTCCCTTTGGTAGCAAACACCCTGCTCATATGACCTATGCTAGTATTTCTCAAAATTGCCCTTAAGAAACCCTTAAACACCTTTAATCCCAGCACTTGGGAGGCACAGGTTGATGGATATCTGTGAATTCAAGGTCAGCCTGGTCTACGAGGACAGATCCAGGATAGGCTCCAAAGATATACAGAGAAACCCAGTCTCAAAAACCCAAAAACAAAACAAAACAAAAACCCTTAAGCAGTTGACCATCATAACCAAAGAGGCCTAGGGGTATGGTGGAATTGAGAGGTCCACTAAAAGCATCATGAATCAAGATGAGTGGGAAGCTATCCCAATAAACACATTTTGGCAGAATAAGAAAAAAAAAGCCTCGATAGAAACTGTGAATTCTGTTCTGTTCTCTGCACTCTTCCCCCAGATAGACTGTGGAGAGGAAGCAGGGCTAACACAGCGTAGGCTGGTAAAATGAAGTCCAGTGATGTGCCTATCAAATTGCTGTCAAATGAAGTGCATATCCCCAACACATAACAACTGCTCTCAGCTTTGGTCAGGGCAGTCAGGAAGGCACAGCAGCTGTGACTACCCACATGAGACCTCTGGAAGATCTGAGCTAGGATCCTGTCACGGAAAGGGCTTTGGGATGCCACACCCATTCCTGAAGATCTACAGGCAGTTTGGTTAGTACCCAGGCTTCTGTAAATGGCCCTAAGGAATCTCACTGGTTAGGGGCAGGGACAGACAGGAAAGGAGAAGAGGGACAGCTGGGAGGAGGAAAGAGACCAGCAGCAGGACTAGTGGGAATAAGGGAGGGGTGAATATACCAAAACACATTAAGAATGGTTATTGTGCTGGGCATAGTGGTGCACACCTTTAAACCTTGCACTCAAGGGGACCATAGGTAAATCTCTGAGTTTGAGGCTAGCCTGGTTTATAGAGAAAGTTCCAGGACAGAGAAACCCTGTCTCAAAAAATATCAACAAAAAAGAAAAGCAATTATTATGTGCAATTTACAGATGATAATAAGAAAAACTACCAGGAAAGAACACTGAAGTCCAATAAAAGGAAGAGATTTGCCTCTAAGAAAATCGTTGCTAATTTCTAGGCGTTTCGGGGGATAAGACAGAATCCTTTTCATCTCTTTTTTTACTTGCAGAAATCAATTCAAGAGTCAGTGCCACCTTCCTCGTGTATCTTTGTAAGAAACCGGCGGCATCGTGAGCCATCTCAGAAGCCCAGAGCTGCATCAGAAGCAAGGCCAGAGCCTTAAGAAAAATACAGCATGAAAAATTCCGTGCAAAACTGCATCAAAGCCCAGACATCTGAGGTGCACTAAGATTCTATTACAGGCTTGGCAGCAGCTGCATCACCACCCATCTAAAAGCAAATCAATATTTAACTGGAAAAATCTGGAAGACGCTACCACAACCTCTGCTTCTTCTGCTCCACACAGCTTGTGTTCCAGTGAGCGTCTTCTTCACAGAACAGATGTCACTGAGCTGAGCTTCTGTTTAGGGCAGAGGCTAAACAAAGGGGGCTCACACAGGGCAGAGTTGACAGAAGGCACTGAGAAACAGTAGAGTCTTCCCAGGTTCAAGCTTGAGCTATACCACTCCTTAGAGCTACGTGACCTTAAGCAGAACATTCCCCCTCACTAAGCCTCAAT